GTGCCTTATAGTTTTTTGCATACAGTTCTTTTGTCTCCTTAGGTAGGTTTGTTCCTAGGTATTTTATTCTTTTTGTTGCAAAGGTAAATGGGAGTGTTTCCTAATTTCTCTTTCAGATTTTTCATCATTAGTGTATAGGAATGCAAGAGACTTCTGTGCATTAATTTTGTATCCTGCTACTTTACCAAATTCATTGATTAGCTCTAGTAGTTTTCTGGTAGCATGTTTAGGATCCTCTTTGTATAGTATCATGTCATCTGCAAACAGTGACAGATTTACTTCTTCTTTTCCAATTTGGATTCCATTTATTTCTTTCTCATCTCTGACTGCTGTGGTTAAAACTTCCAAAACTATGCTGAATAATAGTGGTGAGAGTGGACAACCTTGTCTTGTTCCTGATCTTAGAGGTAATGGTTTCAGTGTTTCACCATTGAGAATGATGTTGGCTGTGTAGAATCCTTGCATTCCTGGGATAAACCCCACTTGATCATGGTGTATGATCCTTTCAATGTGCTGTTGGATTCTGTTTGCTAGTATTTTGTTGAGGTTTTTTCCACCTATGTTCATCAGTGATATTGGCCTGTAGTTTTCTTTCTTTGTGACATCTTTGTCTGGTTTTGGTATCTGGGTGATGGTGGCCTCACAGAATGAGTTTGGGAGTGTTTAGAGTAATTTTTTTTTTTTTTTTTTGTGGTACACGGGCCTCTCACTGTTGTGGAGCACAGGCTCCGGACACGCAGGCTCAGTGGCCATGGCTCACAGGCCCAGCCGCTCTGTGGCACGTGGTATCTTCCCGGACCGGGGCACGAACCCGTGTCCCCTGCATCGGCAGGTGGACCTCAACCACTGAGCAACCAGGGAAGCCCTAGAGTAATTCTTAAGTCTCTGTTGGTTCCTGAAACAGTTTTTAAGAGATTTTCTATTTTCTCTTGTGTGCATTTATTGGGTGCATTTAAAGAACCTGGAAGAGAATTTTATTTTCTTGGAAATAATTTAAACAATGGTTATTCTTTTATCAAGTGGTTACAAGCAATGTTTTTGTGTGTATGTATGTATGTGTACATATAATATACGTATGGATAAATATTTCTAATTGTTGAAATAACATGATCATAAATACAAAACACATATATCATGATTCATTCAGCACAGGATTTTAAAAAATTATTACTTTAATGATTTGAAATGGTTTATAAAAGGTTATCCAATTATATATTCACATTTTTATTTTAGGTGCAAAATATTTCATCAAAGGTAATACTAATGTGGTCAGAGCAATGCTAGAGGACCCTTCAATATTTAAAGGTATGAATTCAACTCACTAGTAAATACTGACTAGCAAACACTTTGTTAAGAGTTGTGGGGGCTAAGGAAATACCAGGTTAATTGTCCTGAGCTCTAGGGGCTGAGGCTTTGATGCAGCGATGAGGCATACACACAGTTAACGGTAATTAAGATAGATTATGATATAGCATATAAGACGAGTATTTGAAACCTGATTCTGTACTGAATAACAGAGAAAGGAGCTATTTTGTTTAGTTATTTTGGTAAGATTAATTTAAGCAGTGCTTAAAGCAAAATTTTAACACTCAGGTGGAGAGTGGGAAGTGAAAGGGTAGCTAAAATTAACTCATTTAATTATTGAGCCCCTACCATTTTAGATATTGTGCTACGTACTGGAAATACACTATACTACAAAAATAAAAATATCCCCTTCTTTTCTTGAATTTAACATGAATTGGCAAAGAATACTGTTCTACAAAGACTTTGAATGGGTAAAAGTGGCTAAGTGGGGGGAAAAATAAGATAACAGTGAGATGAAGGAGGCTTGTTTTGTTTTGATTTTGGTTGGTTGAATTTGTTCCAAGATAAGGGACCTAAAAGCATAATGGTTGTTTTTGCCTGTGTGGAAAGAATCAGAAAAATGGAGAAATGCAAATCAGGAAGGAATAGCTGATTTAATAAAGTTGATAAAGAAATGTAAAATGTTAGGATTAAAATCTAATATGTATAAAAAGTTATTTGGGGAAACAGGAAATAGACTATAGATAGGTACAGAGATATTTTAAGGTCTAAAGAAGAAAAATTCAGTGATGTTCATAATAGATAGCCTCATCTTTTCTAGAAAGCTAGAGGCTGTTTTATTTCAAACTGAGACAATCTGGGGAAGATTTGAGCCCCCAAAGTACAGAGGTTTTGAACAACCATAAATTTGCAGCAACAAGGATGGACCTGGTTATCATCATACTAAGTGAAACAAGTCATACAGAGAAAGACAAATATCGTATGATATTACTTATATGCAGAATCTAAAAAAATTATACAAACAAGCCTACTTACAAAACAAAAACAGACTCACAGACTTAATGAATGAACTTACGGTTACTGGGAGAAGAGTCGGAAGGGGGTAGGGATAGGTTGGGATTTGGGATTGACGTGTACACACTGCTATATTTAAAATAAGATAACCAACAAGGACCTACTGTATAGCACAGAGAACTCTGCTCAATACTCTGTAATAACCTAAATGGGAAAAGAACTTGAAAAAGAATAGATACATGTATACGTATAACTGAATCACTCAGCTGTACACCTGAAACTAATACAGCATTAATCAACTATACTCCAATATAAAATAAAGTATTTTTAAAAAAGTAAAAAAAAGTCAAAATGTCCATAAACTGATGAATTGATTGATAAATGAGGATTATTTATACAATGGAATGTTATTTGGCAATAAAAACAATGAATTACTTATATATGCTAAAACATGGATGAACCTTGAAAATGTTTAGCTAAGTAAGAGATGCTAATTACAAAAGACCACATACTGTATGATTCCAATATTATCTGGATACGTCTATTCTGAAGTATCAAGAATCAATGGAAACAAAATATATTGGTGGTCGCCCAGGGCTGTGGGCATGTGTCAACATAGGGTTGGGATGGGGGAATAACTAATAGGTACAGGGTTTATTTTGGGGGTAGTGAAAATGTTCTAAATTTAGATTGTGGTGATGGTTGCAAAAGTATAAATATACTAAAAACCATTGAATGGTGCAATTTAAATGTGTGAAGTGTATGGTTTATGAATTATACCACTATAAAATTGTTAAAAATGATCAATAACTTTTGCCCTTTAAACATCTGTCTTGTATGAAAAACAAATGTGTAAAGCAAACAAATTTATAATGTGATGAGTGTAATAAAGTGAAGGTATTTCAAAAAAAAAGCCACTAGGATATATGGGCTGTTTCCCACCCAGGCAGCCAGGTAATTGCACCTCACAGCCACAGGTGTGTGATGGTCCCATGAGACCAGAAGGAAATACAGCAGGAGACCATATGGGAAGGGGAGAAAGCTGTCCATTTGGGAAGAATTCTGAGGAGGAAGCATGTGACATAGGCCTAAGCCAATCAATATACTGCATCTTCATGGTCACAGTAATTGGCTTAGCAATGTGCATGTGACCCACTCAGAGCCAATGAGACTTAATGACACCTGGAAATGCTGTAAGAGAGAAGACATGATTCTCTCCTGACTGGATTTGGAGCTGAGGAGATAGAGAGTCTGTAGATACTGCCTCCTCCTAGCCAGAGTAAGGGAAAACCTGGAGCTGACTGGGGCCACCTTGGATCTCCTGACGTCTTAACTATCTCAGTGGAAGAACCTCAAGATGGAGGGAAATTGCGTCCTGATGACATTGTTTGAGCTCTGAATCCAGCCACACCTGAAGTCAATGCGAGTCCTGGGTTTTCAGCAAGACAATGAGTTCCCCTTGTGCCCATTAGAACTGCACTCCTATGTCTCCTGGGGTGGGAGAGATGACACAGGTATTCCCTGAGCAAGTTCTGACATCGGATACCCTTAGGATTCCTGATATGGAGGTGGATCTGAGATAAACCCAGTTGGCCAAGGCAAGCTGCTCAGGCTCAAAAGGTCACCAGAAGTTGTCTTACAAACACCCAGACCATTCTGAATCGTGGTGACCATTCTTGACCCCAAAGTGGGAACAAACAACTTCAAGTTATGAATTTGAACTCCAAGATCAACACCAAAATACCAGCGTTTCTACTGCATATCACCTGTAGAAAACAGCACACTTTGAGAAGCATCTCCTTAAAACTAAAGTTGAAACTTCAACTTAAGATTTAGAAGAGCTTTCAGCTGAAGAAGGACAATAAATTAATTGCATTATTCCCACAATTACTAATTTAAATGTGTGAAGTGTCACTGATTTTCCCTTTAACAGAATGGGACAAAAATATAAATGGGACAAAAATATATAAAACATATTCAAAAGACAAAAAAAAAAAAGGATGAACGTTTTAAGTGGCCAAATTCCACTCAGGAACAGGCAGGGGCAGGCAGCCTAGAAACATGGACCATCTATGTTATTTCAGCAAACAAGCATGATGCTTGTCTGCATGGAGCAACTGATCAAGTGAAAGGTACATAAAATAATCAAATAATTACACAAATACATACTAACTTGACAATTGGCAAGGTAAGTATGGCAGGACATAAAGTTGATAGAGAACAAGAGGGTTAGGGAGAATTGTCCAGTTGGCTGATGTTGTATTCAGGAAGGCAAATAAAACTAAATGTGGTGTCTGAGGGACCAGAATGACAGAGAAAGATAAAAGGAGGGTAAAGAATGGGTTCAGTAGGAATCTGGGAGCAGACGAAGTGGGAATATATGCAGCTGTGGTCAGAAAGCAGGCTTTCAAAGTTTTACTAGAAGCAGAGCAGTTATCAGAGACAGTAATTCCCGCTAAAAATGGGATGTGTATCTTTAGAGGAGAAATCAAGCCTTTGTCACAGGTGCACACACAAACGCCTCTCTCACCAGTGAGAGCTTGCCCATGCCAAGGATCCAGCAATTAGCCATATTAATTCACAAACAGTCTATATACTCCAAAGCACTTTAAGTCATATATTAGACAATTTCTCTTTTTCCTTTTTTTTTTTAAAATGCTGTTAATATTGTACTCACATACATTCAGTGTGTCAGACGTTCCGGTCTGTTTAGTCCCACTCTCCCTGGGTGATCTTGCAGCCTCACAAAACAGAGAACCATTTCTAGGAAAGAGATAAAAATAAAACACATTACATTTAAGGAAGTTAGAAAAGAGCCCAAGCAAAATTATTTGAAATTAAAATCTGCCTAATGGAGTAACCTACAGGGAACAATTTATATTTCCATATATTTTTCCAAGGGTACATTCATGTTACACTATGTCGTCCTTGAGGCTTTTCCCAGAATATAAAAGGCTTTTTAAAAAATGATAGTAATTATAATATTTGGTTCTGGATAAATATCTCACTTTATCAAGTTTTTCTTTCTACTGGATTGTTGAGCAAGATTTTCCATAAAGGCGAAAAAGTGTATCTACCGCTATTTTACCCCCATTCTACTTTGCATACTCTATTCCAGTCAAATGAATTTACTCCTCATCCCTGTACATATTCTGCCTTCTCGTACCTCTATGGCATTTCTTGTGCCATCTTATCTGCCTTAAATGTCATTATTCTTTTGTCCATTCCCATTTCCTACCCAACAAACTTATAGTCATTCTTTAATACCCAGCTCAAATGTGACCTTTATTCCCTCCTGAAGCTGCTTATCAAAATTAATTTCTACTTCATCTATCTATATATATAGTCCCACAGACTGTTGATGGTCATGCATTGTGAGACTTATAACCTATGTTCCAAATTCTGTCTCCCTGCCTCTGAGCTTTAAAGGCAGAGAGAATGTTTTTATCTGTGAGTGTTTCTGCTGTTGCTGTATTATTTTTGCTGTATTCTTTTTCTTTAATCACCACCTTCTCTGTGCACACAATGGACATTCAAATATAAGGAATAATTGTTCTTTACTCTATCTTGGTGTAAATCAGACATTAGTAATGCTGTAGTCAAGGCCTTACACTACGCCAATCTGATACTCCTTTTCAATTAAAATACCTGTTATACTTGGCTTCCAAAACATCATTCTCTCCAGTTTTCCTTCTTCAATGGATTACACTTTTTTTTATCTCCTCTGAGGTTTTCTCCTCATTTCCCTAGCTTTGTAATAATACAATACACCACGGCTCACATCTTGAACACCTCTTATTTTCTATTAGACTAACTCCCAACCAGATCCAATCCAGGCTTAAACTTTTAAAGAGAATCCTTACATCTGGGATTGCCAAATTTCTATTTTAGTGCCGAACTCTGCATGAGTGCCATACTTATAAGCAACTGTCTACTTGCTAGACCCACTGTGAGTTCTAATAGGCAATTTAAAATGAGCATATACTGAGCTTGCTGTCACCACCAATTTGCTCATTCTACAGTTTCTTCTCAGAGAAACAACTTCATCCTACCATTTTCCCATTCCCAAAAAAACTTGACTCCACTCTTTCTCCCATACTCCATAGCAAGTGTATTAACAAATGCCATTGGTGCTAACTTCAAAATGTATCCAAAATCTGTCTAAACTATGACTGCTTTTCTCCATCTTCACTTCTAATATGCTGGTCCAAGCCACTATAAGTTCTGTTAAGTTTTATTGCAATGGAGACCTACTTTACTCTATTCCTTCCTTTTGTCTATTGTCAAAATAGCAGCTAGGATGATTCTATTAACAGGTAAATCAGATTATGTCTTTTCTGTGCTCAAAAGCTCCCAGTAGCTTCCATCTCATTCTAATAAAAGCCCAAATCTCTAAAAAGGGTTGGTGAGATCCTACACAAGTTAAGCCCATGTTAGCTCACAGACCTCTCTTCCTTTTTTTTTTTTTAACTGAAGTATACTTGATTTACAGTGATTCAGGTATACAACAAAGTGATTCAGTTATACATGTACATATACATATACATATATATATACATATATATATATTCCTTTACAGATTTCAGATTTACTTGAAGGAGTTTATTCTTTTGACATGAGAGAACGTAGCTTCTAGTTCCTGTTCAACTGCGTTTTGGTTATGTAACTTCATTCTAACTGAGTCTCAGATCCTTAGCTATGAAGCTAGTGTAGTAACATCTTCTCAATTGCTTTCCCAAGGGAGCTGAGGTAATAAAATGGGACAATCAGTAAAAATATTATTTGAGTATCAAAAGGTATTAAGCAAGATGTGATAACTTGAATATACAACATAGTTGAGCCTTACCTCAATCCTGATACAATTGTGTATTGTTACACTTTACGCATACAGCTTAGTTTCAGTGATTTTCGGAGATCTGACTTAGTTCATAAAGTCAATTTTTGCTGAACTCCGTATGAAAGTTGGATCTTTAGACTCTAAAGTAGGCCATTTTATACCACAATAACTTTTATTAACACCTAAAAATATATATTTATATTTGCCTGATTTATAGAGCCAGAAAAATACATCTGGTACATATAATATCTAACAGTTTGGGGCACTTACTGTACACAGAGTACTGCCCTAAATGACTACCTGTATTATTCTATTTAATTCTCAAATAATGCTGCATGGTTGCAGCTGTAAACATCTCCATTTAAAAATGGAAAAACAGACATAGATAGATTAAGCAATTTGTACAGGGACACACAACTAGTAAGTAGTGAAACTGAGCTGTTAACCTAGGTACATTTGTGACACAAAAACTATTTTTAATTCAAAATTATTATTTTTTCTTTTTTTCCCAATTTCCCTGGGATATAATATATACATATAACATTGTATACATTTAAAGTGTACAACATAATGATTTGATATATGTACATATTGCCACAATATATACGATTACCACAATAAATTTAGTTAACATCCATCACTTCACATTGTGGCTTTTTTTTCCTGGTGATGAGAACTTTAAAAATTGACTCTTATTAGCAACTTTCAGGTGTACAATACTGTATTTTTAACTATAGTTATCATGCTGCCATCCTCAGAATTCTTCATTTGGAGCCAATACAGTAGAGTTCCTAAAAGCCATTCACTTTTACACCTAAATGGAAAAGTTTAGTATCTGTAAGCCTAATAATGAGTTAAAAAACAGAGTAACTGATATTATGATAACATTCTTTAGGATCTGGCTACTTCACAGCATCTAGTTACTTGAGAGAGACTAGTTACTCTGTCTCCCTAGTAATTCACTCTTCTTTGTAATTGCCTCTGTGAACTGATTCATTGTGATGTTGGAGAGTAAGAGCAGTAATTCACTCTGTGATTATTACCAAGAGCCAATAAAATAGTTATGACAAATATCAATCTAATTGGAAGTGCCACTACTAGAGTCACTTAAAAAGAATCACTTGAGAATATTCTATCAGTAACGATCGTGCATTAGCGGAAGGGGGAGAAGAATGAATGAACAAGCCTGAGTCCTCCTCCAGTTATGACAGTTCATTTCCTTTTGATAAACAACTATTCTGGCATGAAAAAAAAAAAACCCTAATCTACCTCTGACCTTTCTACATTTGGTCCAGAGCACTACAACGACTCTGAATTCTCATATAAATAAGTTCCAAGAGAAGGGTGAGGAAATCCTATAGATAATTCACTCTACTTGACAACAAACTAAGGAATAATTTTAGCATACACTTATCCCACACCAAGTAGAGACTTGATTCAAATCATTATCACTATAATAAAAATCACAGCAGTATGTAGAATATGTTGAACATACACAATGTGTTCGATATTATGGTTAGCACATTACACGATTTATTTTGATTCTCTGTTGTACAGATTGGTTTGGAAATGCCATTGCGTAGTTTGAGCCAGGTAGGGCATCTTAGGTAGATAAATATTACATTCCCCAAAATATAATCTAAAGTGAGGCAGACTCAAGAACACTGAGGCACAAAGGATGTGATGGCCTGAGATTACATATTAATATCATATCTACAGAACTTCCACACTGCCCTCTACCGTTCTCACCAGACTACTCTGCTTCCCACAGCCCCCTTCAGTTTCTCTGTCTTACCTCAGAGAAGATAAGAGAAGGTAATTTATCCTTAAATGGAGAGAATTATTAATTGTATGGATTTCAAGCTCGAGAAAATGCTAGCAACACTCTATCTTGCAAATGTATATTTTAGACACAACTGGGAATGGATAAAATTCCACGGCTCTGCTGAAGGTAAGTGAGTGGGTGGCCACATAGGACTGGGGCAAGTAAATATCATCCAGATATGAAAAAGATAATCATATAATTGCATAGTGTTATATAAACATGCTCATGATATAATATCACATGAAAGAAGGGAATTTCAAAATGGCATATTTTCTAAATTTATGTACATACTATATGTGTCCACGTTCAAGGATGAGATAGGAAAACAGAACAGTTTTCTCATGATTTGTAGGGCATGATGTAAGACTGAGTGACACATCCATTTTGACCATTAATGTCTTTACAAAATTGTTTGTGATCTGAATTTTGAAAGTGAGATTTAATTTTGAAAAAAGGATGGCAAAATGACACTTCTGAAATTCAGAGATGCTGTGGTTTTGGTGCTTACAAAAATTATCTCCTCAGAGCTTGTTATAAACAACTCTTAAGAACCACTTTCAAATTGTTATATCATTTTTGCACAACATAACTCCTAGCATACATTCCAGTTAGTAATTAACCTTAAATACTCAATTTTTCCCTTAGAGATCAACTTACTGCATGTAAAGAATGGATAACCTGAAAAATGAAAAATGCCTTTATTTACTCATTCACTCATCTATTCATTCAATACACAGTAATTAAGTGCTGATTGTTTTAGGTACTATTTTAAGAGCTGAGGATGTAACAGAAAATAAGTTGGTTTGTAACTAGTTTTGGGGCCTAGAGCTAAAAGTTAACTAAAAGTTAACTCTATGAAAAGGGAAAAGTCTCAAGAAAGGATCTGAAACAAATGTGTTCCCCTAGTCCTCACTGAAAAGGCTGTAAAGTGGAGAAAGTTTACAGTGTCTTATTCCTGTGTCAGCTTTCTGAGCAAATGTTTACAGGAAAAAAATATGTCACAGAAAATAATTTAGAAATAGTTTTCCAACTATGCTCCCTTTACTCAACCACCTAGTCATCAGAACATCTGTTCCAGCAGAAGGAAAATATCATGAAGGC